GGCTCCTCGCGCCGTGGGAGCTGCCACCACCTCCCATGAGCGGCCCGGCCACTCCTGGTGCTCCGGCCGCGGGAGCTCCGGCCTGCTCATGGACACAGCGAGGCCGGCGGAGCCKTCACCCCCACGCTGCCTGTATGGGCCTCACTCAATCAGGACCCAACTCTACAGAGGTCTGCGAGTCCCTTCACAAATTCTCTTGCTTGAGCCTGGGTTCAGYTTAGGCTGGAGCCTCAGGCTGCAGCACAAGCCCATTACGCTGGCACCAGTGTGAAAACGCAGCCCCCTTTCCCCCCTGCCTCCACTGCCTCCGTATGCCAATACAAACATTTTTGTATCCTTCCAATGGACCAGATGAGTGAAGTGATCTGCCTGTAAAGTAGCTCGGTAAACAAAAAAGGGATTATTTTACAGACGGATTGGTTTCCCAAGCCAATTCATCCCGTGGCCACTGCAAGCAGCTGACTTCAGGCATGAAAGAGGGCAGTGAGGGGGCAGGCAGGATGTCTCCGCTCAGAGAGACACTACCAGATTGAAGGAACTTTCATCAAATGCAGCCTTAGCTCTACTACATATTCAACTACATCTTGACTGAAATGTGCCAGAATTTCTCCTTTCTTCGTTTCCCCTTGCAAGCCTGACTAAGCTTTGCTCTGTGTGCTCCCCTCTCAGCTCTCCTGTTAAATGTGTCCTTTCATAACACTGTAAGTGCAGTACACAGGCCAGAACTTCAGATCATTCAGAATGCTTAGTTAAATATGCAGGCTTTCCTTTCCTACGAGCAGTAAGAAAATGCTGCAAATGCTTGCCACTGCATACACTATAAACTACATGCACGTGTCTGCAATTGGGCATCCAAAATGKCTCAAGGTTTTCTCTGTGAACACTGCAGCAAATACATCTGTGCTTTGAAAAGGCTGTATCTACCTCCATACGTGAGCAGTGCTCACTTTCCATTAGTTTTCCCATATTATCTCCCCAGTCCTCACCAGCACGGTGGTTCCAAATACTTCATACCTCCAGGTCGCTATCCCAGTCTCAAATGGTAATTTGAGTAAGTGCAGACTGGTAGCTTAATAACAGGAAATACCCGTAAACTCCAGGCAAGTGGTTGGTGGCTAATTCCACTGAAGCCTCTCTTGCTGATCTTGTCGGATTTTATAGAGCGGTATTAGTGTGCTTAGAACATGCTCAARGACCAATTCTTCCCTTTGGTTACATGAGCTAATCTAAGGAGTGTAACCACTAAGGGGTTTTGCACATATTAGAACACTAACATGGGGACCCACAGKTTTTTTTTCTGCATTTTTTATCTAGAATTTAGTTCCGGCTGGTAATGGGTTCTATTAAAACAATAAAAATATCAATTTCCACCAGCTGTTTTATTACCAAAATTTGAATTATGCTGTTTTCCTTTGAAGTCTTCAGCAAGGTGGCTCTGTGCAGCATGTGCACAAGAGAGGCCCTAGAGGATCTTTGAGCTATGAAATAGCAAAGCCACTGCTTCTACCTAACATAGGCTGCAGCTTTATTTCCTGGTAGCTTCCTAGGGATACCAAGGCAGATTCTTTTGTTTTTCCCTCTCTTTTTTTCAGTAGGGAAACTGTATACAAAAATGTGCTTTATTTCAACACGATCAAGACTGAAACGACTAAGGCTGTGGCAGAATTATATGAGCAAGACTGAAATTTTTGAGAAGTTTTGAGAATTATGGTTCACCACTACAGCATGTGTTACAGTTCAGCCTTCCATAAGACAGCTCCAAAGCACAAATCATTCAACGATAGTGAAAGAGAAATTCCATTATCTTCTAAGCCCTGCACTATGGGTACTGTATTTAATGTACATACGGTGCTTCAGCAATGAAAGATCTTTTATACTGTGATTCAAACGGAAAATCACTGTTCATGATTTTAACTTTTTTTTTTTTTTATCTTAGGATTCTAAACTAAAATGCAGTATAGAGGTTTTTATTTATATACTTTATAGGCCATTATATTTATACAGCAGATTTTAAAGAAACAATAAAACTTGAAGGATTAATTACCAGAAAGAACAGCAGTTTTTCAGGCATGTCTGCTAAGATAAATATCTTATGGTATATAGTTTATATGAAAACAGGTATATTATCTATATGAAAAGATTTTATTAACCATTGAAGAGTTCAGTAAAGAAATGGTAAATTCCACGATATTAAGCTGAAAACCTCCTTGAATGTGAGGAGTCTGTGTCTTTTAGTCATAAATACACAATGGTGGCATTTCAATTTAAGACTGTGGGCAACATAYGAGGACGTTTATCCTGACAGACAGTATCAGTATGTTTTGCACGTGTGAGAAGGCGGAATCCTGTAGGAACGTGTTCTGCTGCTGCTCCAAGTGACACAGCATCCCTCCTAAACACGGTGGCACTGATGGTCACCTTAAACGGTCACTTCTTTTAACSGTCACCATGAATTTGTTACATTTGTGATAGGAATACTGGTCTATTCTATTTTGAAATGAATCCAAGCGCTATTACTCCGACTGGCAGGCCGCAAAACAACTACAATCAGAATTCCCTCACTTTTGTTTGGCCGTCATAATAAGCACTGCATTGTTCTCCCGACAAACACAGGCCTTTTCTTGCCGCGCGCTGTTGACTTCGCTCTTCGCTGAGCGGTACCACTGGCTGCTCCTGCTGGGGCCACGCTAAGGGGAAGATGGACTACCTATACATATGATGTATAGGTAGTTCGTAAAGGCCAGGGGAAGATGCACCACATAGTTAGGATCAAGAAACCAAAGATCTGACTAATTCCTCATGTAAACACGTGCAATTTCAATGCATGGTCCACTCACTGCCCTCGGTTGAATTTAAGCTCATTCTATCATATAGAGATTTCACTATGAAAACATTTTAAAAATATGGAAATGTCCATGTTGCATTCTTGCCTCTCTCCTGCAATGCTGTTCTCTGTGCTTCAGAAACAGTACTTGTTTTGTTCTGTATCATATRCAAGTATAGTTTTTATAGTCTTTTTTATAGTAATGAACCAATTCATCCTGCGTGTAGTCTGTGTGGAATAACAGGGCTGGGATCTCTCTGGGATCATGGATACACAGTGGACCAGCTAACGCAGC